CCCCTCACCCCCCCCCCGTTGCTCGTGTTTGCTGCTGCGGCCTCCCCCCCCCAGGGGATTTTGTTTGGGTTGGTTTTTTTTTATTGAAATCTTCTCGGGAATGGGGAAGTGAGTAACGCTGGCTGCGGCCGGCGTGCAGAACAAAACTTGCTCCCGTGACACGGGTGGGCGCCGATACCGCGTTACTCATCCCACCCAGCAGCTCCGCTCCTTCACGCGCCTTTGCAGGAGCAGAGCATCGCCACCGGGCGCCTTCCCCTTGCGCAGAGCCTGCGTGGGTGTGGGTGTCACCCGGAGTCCCGCACAGACAGCTGGCACCCCCCCAGCCAGGGCAGGGAGGTGGCCGTGTGTGCGTATGTGTGTTCCCCCTGCACCGCCGTCACCCCTCTGGGAAAGTGCCTGGCTGGCAGGGCCCTCTGCCTCCACCGTGTGTGTGTCCCCCTGCCCTGCACCGCCACCACCCCTCTGGGAAAGGGCCTGGCTGGCAGGGCCCTGCCTGCCTCCAACGCTGCCGAACTAGCCGGGGCGACAGCGGAGGGCTGGCTGCGGAGCGGGTTTGCTGGAGGCAGAAAGAACAGCTCACCGCACTGCCCCTTCGGGTTTGGGGTTTTTTTTCCCTTTACAAAAAGTGTTTTGAGGCTGGACCAAATCTTCCTGACTTCTGAGCACAGCAGGCCTGGCACGGGCATTTTTTTGGTAGATCAAAGGCAGAGGTCCACACTGACCCGTGGTTCTGGCAGGACGAGGGTGCTCGTGTGGTTTGCGATGCTGCGCGGTGCTTCCCTGTGAGCAAAGAGCAAAAACCCGGTGAAAACCCGTCGAGAGGCTGGAGGGAGCCGAGAGCTCTCAGGGCAGAGCAGCACCAGGTCCCCGCCGCCCGGTGTCCCCTCTCTGCTTGACACCAGCAGCGTCGTAAGGTCAACGACGGCGTCGCATTAACTTCAACCCCGCAGTGGCCAATTTCATCCGGAGGGTGTTTGGGCTGGATTCACCCCCCGGAGCCGTTCAGGCTGCTCACGGTGGTGACTCTCGATTTCTCCTGCAGGTACCAGACGAGGGTTTGTTCTGCGGTACCGGAGCTGTCGGCTCTGCCTGGCAGGTACGTGACGGGGGATTACCGATTTCCAGCCTGTTGCCGCTGTGAACTGTAACTCTTCTCGAAAAATCTCTATTTTTCGGATGGCTTATGTTAAAAATGACTTGAGTCCTTTGTCTTTTTGTTTCAGGAAAAATGTCGGACGGTTTCTCCGTAAGTATGGCTTTCTTTAAAAAAAAAAAACCTGGGGGCCGTGATTGAGCGGGGACCTTCGGTGGGGGCGGGAGCACGGCTCCGCTAACCTGCGTAACTCCCCGAATCCACTCCAGTTACCTCGGCATTTACCGGTTTTCTGGAAACCTCAGCCCAGGCACTCAACCCCCCACACACACACACTGCTTGGGAGCAGTTGAGCGCTTGCCCTCAGCGCGCGCTGTAGGCCACGAAAGCTGGGTGTTGGAGGACTCAACCCCACCCCAGGATTAATGTCACCCACCTAACCCTCCTCCTCTCCCCTCTGTCCCCAGTTATCCGACGCCTTGGCCACCAGCAACAACCCCACCCCCGGTGCCCCCCCACCCCAAGGCTGGCCCTCCTGGGGGAACCAGCCGCCGGCTCCTGGGGGGTTCCCGGCGTACCCCGGCCCTCCGGGGACCTATCCTGGCTCACCGGCAGCACCGGGGACCTACCCTGGAGCACCAGGACCGTATCC